GATGCGCAAACGCTACAGCGTGGACAAATCTCTCAGCCATCCCTGGTTACAGGTGATGCACGGGGCAGGACTGGTCCATTGGCTGGGTTGGAGAAAGGGATGGAACTAGACCACTTACTGGCTAGGCAGGTAGTGAAGGATGTAGGTTTCCTTGGGTCTGGAATGTGGCTAGGCCTCCCATTGGCTGGGTGCAGGAGGAGGGGGTGGAGCTAAATGTCTGCTGGCTGGGTGGGTTGCAGAGGGTGTGGCTTCACCTTCGTTGGTACCTAGATCTCAGTGGCAGAGCAGATGGCATCCAGGCACTGCTCCAATGCAGACCCCAAGCTAACCCCAGTTCTCTCGGGCCCAGGAGTACCAGACGTGGCTGGACCTCCGAGAACTGGAGGGGAAGATGGGCGAGCGATACATCACGCACGAGAGTGACGACGCGCGCTGGGAGCAGTTTGTGGCAGAGCACCCGCTGCCCGGGTCCGGGCCACCCATGGACAGGGATTTCAGTGGGGCCCATCCACCACAGGACCACGACATGCAGGGGCTGACAGAGCGCATCAGCGTCCTCTGAGGCCCTGTGCCCTCGTCTGGCGGCTGCCCTCCATAGCAGCTCTTCAGAGGATCCCAGCAATGAACTGTTTTAGGGAAAGTGGCTTCCTGCCCAAACTGGATGGGACACATGGGGTGGGGAGAGGGAGCTATTTCTAAGACCCCTCCCTGTCTCCCCAGCAATTAAAACGGACTCATCTCTGGCCCTATGGCCTTGGTCTCAGAGCACACAGCACTCTTGAATCATTAGTCTGTTGTACCAAGATGGGTCTATGTGGAAGGACTGCCTGAAAAGAGGAAGGATGGAAGTGGGGTGGGGAGGGAGGACTAGCTGGGGTAGAGAGTATAGAGGATTGCGAGAGAGAATACGAGAAGCTGAGGGAGGAGTAATGGAGGAGTCAGGAATAGGGGAGAGAAATTGGAGAAAAGGAAGCAATCTAATGATTTCTTATTTGGTGATGTTTCTCTTGCTAATCACAACTATTAATACCAATTCAGGCTGGGCGCAGTGACTCACGCCTGTAATCCCAGCACTTTGGGAGACGGAGGCAGGCAGATCCCATAGATCTCAGGAGTTTGAGACCAGCCTGGCCAATGTGATAAAACTCCTTTCTACAAAAAGTAAAAAAAAAATTAGCTGGGTGTGGTGGCTTGTGCCTGTGGTCCCAGCTACGTGGGAGGCTGAGGCTGGAGGATCGCTTGAGCCCAGGAAGCAGAGACTGCAGTGAGCTAAGATCACACCACTGCCCTCCAGCTTGGGCAACAAAGTGAGACTCTGTCTCAGAAATAAAATGCGGTTAGCCCAAGTCTGATCCATAGAAGAAAACTGATATGTAACATTTAGTATTTTTACTTTGGGAGGCTGAGGTGGGTGGATCATGAGGTCAAAAGATCGGGACCATCCTGGCTAACACAGTGAAACACCGTCTCTACTAAAAATATAAAAAATTAGCCAGGCGTGGTGGCACGCCCCTGTAATCCCAGCTACTGGGGAGGCTGAGGCAGGAGAATCGCTTGAACCTGGGAGGCAGAGGTTGCAGTGAGCTGAGATCACCCCATTGCACTCCAGCCTGGGTGACAGAGTGAGGCTCTCAAAAAAAAATTATTTTATATTGATGTGATGACTTCGCTATATGCTGAATATATAAAGAAGTATATATTCACTCATTTGTCTCACTGAGCTGTCATGCTGAGGGCACAGTGGTGACAGATAGCTGAGGACTCCCTGGAGTTCACCATCCAGTGGAGAGACATACCTGTCCCTAGACGGTGATGACCCAGAATGGGAAGGGCAGGGCTGGGGAAGTTCGGGAGGCCTGGGCAGCCTAGAATGAGCTCTCAGTGGTCAGAGGAGGTGGGTGGTCGGAGGTGACCTCTTAAGCTTCACCTTGGCCTTGAAAGACTGAAAGCAGAGGGAACAAACAAGGGAACACGTATCCACCTCTCTCTACCTTGGACTCCAGCCCGTCAGCTCCCCAGTTCTCCAATAACAGCCTAACACATGGTCCTCCACCTTCCACAGCTGAAGATGAACCATGCTCCTGAACTCAAAAATAAAATTAAAAAATAAAGACCGCCAGGCGCGGTGGCTCACCCCTGTAATCCCAGCACTTTGGGAGGCTGAGGTGGGTGGATCACGAGGTCAAGAGATCGAGACCATCCTGGTCAACATGGTGAAACCCCGTCTCTACTAAAAATACAAAAAATTAGCTGGGCACGGTGGTGTGTGCCTGTAATCCCAGCTGCTCAGGAGGCTGAGGCAGGAGAATTGCCTGAATCCAGGAGGCGGAGGTTGCGGTGAGCCGAGATTGCGCCATTGCACTCCAGCCTGGGTAACAAGAGCGAAACTCCGTCTCAAAAATAAATAAATAAATAAATAAAGACCTACCTGAAAGCTGGGCATGGTGGCATGTGACTGTATTCCCAGCTACTTAAAGGCTGCGGTGGGAGGATCGCCGGAGTCCAGGAGTTCCAAGACCAGTTTGGGCAACAGAGCCTAAGAAAAGACTCGAACAGCCAATCTAGGCTAATATCGAGAGCTTACTCTGGGGTTTTCCAATTTGATTTGTGTCAACTTGTCCATCTGATGGTTGGTTGCAGAGCTGTAGCTTTTTTTTTTTTTTTTTTTTTTGAGGCAGGGTCTCACTCTGTTGCCCAGGCAGGAGTGCAGTGGCGTGATCACAGCTCACTGCAGCCTTGTCCTCCTGGACTCCAGAGATCCTCCCATCCTCAACGTCCTGAGCAGATGGGACTACAAGCATGTGCCACCATGCCCGGTTAATTTTTGGTATTTTTTGTGGAGGTTTTACCATGTTGCCCAGGCTGGTCTCAAACTCCTAGGCTCAAGCAATCTACCTGCCTAGGCCTCCCAACGTGCTAGGATTACATGCATGAGCCCCTGCACCTGGCTGAGCTGCAGCTCTTTGATTTGAAGATGCTAAATGAGCCTCAGTAAATGAAGGTATTCAAATGAGCAGGGTACCTCTGAGGTACAGTCGAAGCTAAGACTATTGGGGAAGGTCTCTTAGACTCCATCCCCAATGCCTATGCTTCTATTTGTCTAAGATCCAGAAGTGTAGGCAACAGAGAGAGGAATCCATCTCCTGTGACAGACCCAGGCTAGAAAATGTATAGAAAAGACGATCAGCCTTGACCTGCTTCTGTCTTGCCACTAGTTAATATCCCGAGACCAGAAACAGGAAACATGATTTAAAAACACTGAAACTCCTCAATTACAGAATTCCGAGATAGCGCAACATCATGAGGATGCCATGAAAGATAAAATCAGGCTGAGCGCACCTACAATCCCAGCATTTTGGGAGGCCGAGGTGGGCAGATCACAAGGTCAGGAGTTCGAGACCAGGCTGGCTAAAACAGTGAAACCCCACCTCTACTGAAAATACAACAATTAGCTGGGTGCGGTGGCATGCTCCTGTAGTCCCAGCTATTCAGGAGGCTGAGGCAGGAGGATCCCTTGAACCCAGGAGGTGGAGGTTGTGGTGAGCTGAGATTGCACCACTGCACTCCAGCCTGGGCAACAGAACGAGACTCCACCTCAAAAAAAAAAAAAAAAAAGATGAAATTAGATCCACAATGAAAACTTGGGGCCCTACCATTTAAATAATTAGAGACTAGGCCGGGTATGGTGGCTCACGCCAGTAATCCAAGCACTTTGGAGGCCAAGGCAGGTGGATCACCTGAGGTCGGGAGTTCAAGACCAGCCTGACCAATGTGGTGAAACCCTGTCTTAAAAAATAATAATAATAGGCCGGGCGCGGTGGCTCATGCCTGTGATCCCAGCACTTTGGGAGGCCGAGGTGGGTGGATCATGAGGTCAAAGAGATTGAGACCATCCTGGTCAACAAGGTAAAACCCCGTCTCTACTAAAAATACAAAAATTAGCTGGGCATGGTGGTGCACACCTGTAATCTCAGCTACTCGGGAGGCTGAGGCAAGAGAATTGCTTGAACCCAGGAGGCGGAGGTTGCGGTGAGTCGAGATCATGCCATTGCACTCCAGTCTGGGTAACAAGAGCGAAACTCTGTCTCAAAAAAAAATAATAATAATAATAATAATTAGAGACAAAAAGTTTATCCTATTGGGACCCCTGGAACCACAAAACCGAATTTTGCTTGTTAGAGACGGGGTCTCGCTCTGTCCACCACACCCCAGCTTCCGTGCAGTGGTATGATCATAGCTCACGACAGCCTCAAACTACTGGGTGGGTTCAAGCCATTCTCCCCCTCAGCCTCTTGAGTAGGTGGGACTACAGGCATGAGCCACCACACCTGGCTAATTTTCTGTTCGTTTTTAATTTTTAATGTATTTATTTTTTTTTTTTGAGATGGAGTCTCACTCTGTTGCCCAGGCTGGAGTGCAGTAGCGTGATCACAGTTCACTGCAGCCTCGACCTCCTGGGCTCAAGTGATTCTCCCTCCTCAGCCCCCTTGAATAGCTGTGATTGCAGGCACAAGACGCCATGCCTAATTTTTGTATTTTGAGTAGAGGCAGGGTTTCACCATGTTGGCCAGACTCGTCTCAAACTCCTGACCTCAAAATGATCTGCTCGCCTTGGCCTCTCAAAGTGCTGGGATTACAGGTGTGAGCCACTTTGGGAGGTCAAGCGGGGAGTGGATCATGCGATCAGAAGTTCAAGACCAGCCTGACCAACATAATGAAACCTTGTCTCTTTAGCCAGGTGTGGTGCCAGGTGCCTGTAATCTCAGCTACTCGAGAGGCTGAGGCAGAAGAATTGCTTGAACCTGGGAGGCGGAGGTTGCAGTGAGCCAATATTGTGCTACTGCACTCCAGCCTGGGCGACGGTTAGAGACCCTGTCTCAAAACAAACAAATTTCTGGCATTTAAACTATGTCTGTAGTGCTTTGTTATGGCCACTTAGCAAATGAAGACACTGCTGGAACAAATCACCACGAATGTAGTGCCTTAAAACAACGACACCTGTGCTCACTTCGGCAGCACATGTACTAAAATTGGACCGATACAGAGAAGATGAGCATGGCTCCCGCGCAAAGATGACGCGAAAATTCATGAAGCCTTCCATATTTTTATATAAAAAAATAGAGATTTATTTGCTTAGAAATGGGCGAAAAAAGACCATAGAGATTTATTTTATTTTTTGAGACGGTCTTGTTCTGTCGCCCAGGCTGGAGTGCACTGGCACAATCACAGCTCACCGCAGCATCAGCTTCGTGGGCTCCTGATCCTCCTCCTAAAGTGGGGCCACAGATGTGCTCCATCATGCCTGCCTAATTATTTTATTTATTTTTATATTTTTGTAGAGACGTGGTCTCACTATGTTGCTCAGGGTGGTCTCAAAGTCCTGGCCTCAAGCGATCCTCCCACCTCAGCCTCCCAAAGCTTTGGAATTACAGGGGTGAGCCACCGTGCCTGGCCCGGCCTCTAATTTTCTATTTACATGTTTTTCTGATGTTAATGTTCCTGCCTCCGTCTTGTAAGGAAGCTCGTGATTATACTGAATCCATCAGGATAATCCAAGATAAATCTCCCTATCTCAAGATTCTTAATCACAAGAAGTTCTTTTCTCCATAAAAGGTACTATGGTCACAGGTTCCAGGGATATAGATGAAGACATCTCTGGGGGGCCATTACTCTTCCTACCAGAGCACACATCAACAATCTTCTTATGACATAATCACTCAAAGACTCACGAGGATTCTACTCCTATCGGGCCCTGAGGACTCTAATCTACTATAATCAGACTTTCTCAGATATGATCAAGGACTAAGTAGACTCATGCTTGTCACTGACAGGTGCAAGCTGCCTTCCCTCCAGACATTCCATCGCAGCCTCTTCATACTCTCCAAACAGGGAATTTCATCCTCCGGAAAAGACATTGCAGGAAGACTCACCTTGAACTCAGATGGAATGCACCCTACACTGTTTTTTTTGTTTTTGAGATAGAGGAGTCTCACTCTTTCTGCCCAGGCTGGAGTGCAATGGCACATGGTCTTGGCTCACTGCAACCTCTGCCTCCTAGGTTCAAGCAATTCTCCTGCCTCAGCCTCCCAAATAGCTGGGATTACAGGTGCCCACACCACGCCCAGCTAATTTTTTAATATTTTTAGTAGAGATGGGGTTTCACCATGTTGGCCAGGCTGGTCTTGAACTCCCGACCCCAGGTGATCCACCCACCTCAGCCTCCCAAAGTGCTGGGATTACAGACATGAACCACCACGCCTGGCTGATTCTCCAGAAATCTTTTGGCATCACCATTATTAAAAACATCAAGAAGTCAAAAAGGAAATCTTCAGATTTGCTACAGCTCTTTGGACTCCACGAACCAAGGATGTCTCTTCACCTCCTTCTTGGACTCCTCCCACCTGCTGCTCTGGCCTTGCACCTTCATTTTACTCTTATTCTCTTTCTACGTATCTTCCTAGGCATATCCATCTTCAAATGACTGGTGAACAGAACCCTAAATCAGCTCCAGATTCAACACTGTTCTAAGCAAATGGTTCAACTGATCTTGTACATACAGCACGGATGGAAAACGAATACTGATGTTGCCCACACACTTATCAGTCCTTGACTGTCTCCCTATTGTTGGAAAATTAGGGCAGTCTAAAAGCACTACCCCCCCCCCCCACCACTTTCTTTTGAGACAGATTCTGGCTCTATCACCCAAGCTGGAGTGTAGTGGCACGATCTTGGCTCACTGCAACCTCCACCTCCTGGGTTCAAGCGATTCTCTTGCCTTAGCCTCCCCAGAAGCTGGGATTACGGGTGTGCACCAGCATGCCTGGCTACTTTTTGTATTTTGAGTACAGACGGGGTTTCACCATGTTGCCAAGGCTGGCCTCGAACACCTGATCTCAGGTGATCCATCTGCCTCAGCCTCCCAAAGTGCTGGGATGATAGGTATGAGCCACTGCACATGGACCCCCACTTTTTTTTGAGACAAGATCTCGTTGTCGCCCAGGCTAGACTGCAGTGGCGTGATCATGGCTCACTGCAACCTCTGCCCTCCCAGGCTCAAGTGATCCTTTGTCTCAGCCTCCCAAGTAGCTGGGGCTGCAGGCGAGCACCACCACACCCAACTCATTTTCTAAGTCTATTCTGAACAAGAGGAAGACTGAACAAAGGTTGTCTCTACTAAATTTCAAGACTTTTTTTCCCCTGAAACTTTCTAGATTATTTTAAAACATATTTATCAAACCCTTCTATGAATCAAGAACAAAAAAAAAAAAAAAAAAGAAAAAGAAAAACAAAAAAAACCAAATCCTTCTGTGGCTCTTGATCCACAGAAGACACTGCTTCAAGTACAAGATACATTTCAGGCCGGGCGCGGTGGCTCAAGCCTGTAATCCCAGCACTTTGGGAGGCCGAGGCAGGTGGATCACAAGGTCAAGAGATCAAGACCATTCTGGTCAACATGGTGAAACCTCATCTCTACTAAAAATACAAAAAATTAGCTGGGCATGGTGGTGTGCACCTGTAATCCCAGCTACTCAGGAGGCTGAGGCAGGAGAATTGGCTGAACCCAGGAGGTGGAGGTTGCGGTGAGCCGAGATCGCGCCATTGCACTCCAGCCTGGGTAACAAGAGCGAAACTCCGTCTCAAAAGAAAAAAAAAAAAATTTCATTTAATCCTCAGGAAAACTCTATGAGGCAGCCAGTATTATGGTGAAACGATAGCACAGAGAGGTTAAGTAAGTTTCCAAGTTCACCTGGAAAGTGGCAGATCTTTGACTCACCCTGAGGAAGTCTGGCTCCAGGAGACTTTGCTGTCTATCGGCACTATCATTTTCTCTCCATCTCACCGCCAGAAGGTCACTTCATGCACGGGGAATCACGAAAGAGGGAATTTCTCATATGATCTTCTGGGTCTTGGCTTTTAGGGAGCCAAGGTCTGTCTGAGAAATGGGTATGAATATTAGAGCTAGGTCTTGGAAGTTGGTAGAGGCACGCTCGGCGTAGTGACACAGGTTGGCCGCCTGAGGGTGCCCCAGCCCTGCTCGGGGAGCCTGGGGACACAGCAGAAAGCCTTGGAAACGAATGTCAGGCTCAGACTCCTAGCACCAGAGAACGTTGAGCATAGAGCATCATAGAAGGCTGAGAACAAAGCCCCTTAGAACGTAGAACAAAGGCCCCTGGAATGGAAGAATGATGAGCATACAAACTCACAGCACCTGGGAGACAAAAGCCGCTCAGACTCTCTTCTGGTCAAAGAATAGAATCTTCCACCCAGGGTCTTATAATTCCAGAATTTTGAATGCAATTTTTAGCAGCAAGGCCGGCTACATATTTGGCCTAGTGCAAAGTGAAAACAAGGGGTGTCTTGCTCAAAAACTAAGACTTTTAAGACAGCAACTGCAGAACATTCAACCAAGCACCAAGACCCTTCTAAGCGGATTCCAAGCTGGTGAAGCCAGCTCTAAGTAGAAACAAAATTTTATCTGAGGACGTACGTCTCGTTTTACAGTCGAGTGTCTGGGAAGGCTTCTCAGAAGAGGAGGCGAAGTCAGGGCTCGACCCTCTAACCCTTTTCTCCACCTGCGCAGCCTCAGAAGCTGAAGGCCGGGCGGGGTGGAGGGATAGGAGCAGCTGCCAAACTGTCACGTGGACCCATTTCCTATTTATAGATCACCCGTCCCCTCGTGCCGGACAGTCCAATGGTAGCCAGAGCTCGCCCGCAAGAGGGTGGAATCTGCTGCAAGACCGGCCAGGCACAGACCAATGGTATTGAAGCAAGGGCGGGCTTGTTTCATTGTGACGCGTGGGGGGGCGTGACCAGGGCCCAAGGCAGTTGCACGGAGGGGGCGTGGCGAGAGGAGTGAGTAGGCAGCTGCGAGCATGCGTCGTGTAGGGCGGCGAGGGTGCAAGGCCGAGCATCTTCGTCAGGGAGGGTATTCACCAATAGGCGGCTGTTGCTCGGTCTCTGGGGGCGCGGCCATGCAGATAAGGCGCGGGTGGGCGGCCCAATGGGCGGGCGCCTATGCAGATGAGACGGTGACAGCCCGGCCAGCGGGCGGGCGGGCAGGCTGCTGGGGCGGGGAGGTGGGACCGGGAGAGGGGTGGCCGCGGGGCCCGGCCGGGCTGGGGCGGGGGGCCGCAGCCATGATCCGGGCCTTCTCGTTCCCGGTGAGCCCCGAACGGGGTCGGCTGCGGGGCTGGCTGGAGGGTAGCCTGGCCGGGCTCTGCGAGTTGCACTGGCTCCGGGAGAGGCAGGAGTACCGCGTGCAGCAGGCGCTGCGGCTGGCCCAGCCTGGAATGGGGGGCGCCGAGGCCGAGGACGAGGAGGACGCCGATGAGGATGAAGATGCGGCGGCGGCGCGCCGGGCCGCAGCGGCCCTGGAGGAGCAGCTGGTAAGGGGCCGCCTGTCCATCCGTCCCTCCACCCCCGTCTGTGTCTGTCTGTCTCGGTTGGATGCTCAGACACCCGGGGGGGTTGGGGACCCGGGTAGGCAGGGAGTGAGAAGGACAGGGGGTGGGGCTGGAGACCCCGGAGTTCCGGCGGCGGAGCAGACCTGGCTTCCCCGCCCCCAAATCGGGGGAGGGGGAAACTGCACCGTCCTCACTGGGGCCTCGTGAGAAACATGGGCCCCATCCCTTACACCCCTTTCCCAAAGAAAATCCTTCTGGGCGCCAAGTATGTGTCAAACCTGGGACCGGGTACTTTGCAGGCGTTGTCTTCTTGCAGCTTGGGAAACAGGGGGTGTTAGTCCCCCATTTAACAGAGAGAGACACTGAGGCTCCGAGAGAGCAAGCGACTCACCCAAGGTCACACAGCCAGGCTCCAAACATGCCCTTCTCTGGGCTCCGCTACCAGGGCTCCATCTTCCCTAAGTCCTGGTGTGCTTGGAGATCTCTGGAGGGGGCGGGGTGGGAGGAGGGGATCTCAGGGCCTCGGGAGGGAGGGACCACTGCTGAGAGGAAGCTCACAGTCCCTGAGGACCCCCCACTGGGATCTTGACCCTTCGGTGACACTTCCCCCTGCTTTCTACGTGGCCCCGGCTCTCCTTGACCCAAGGGAAGGCAGGTCGAGGCAGCGCCTGGAGGATACTTCTGGACTCTGGGTGTTCTCATGGTGGAAGATGGGCATCGGTCTCCGGAATGACTCGCGGAGGCTCCATTCCTCTCCCCTTTCTGTGTCATTCCTTGAGTCTCCCGAGCTCGTCCTGGGGTTCTCTCCCTCTCTCGGTCCTGCCACATCCCGGTGACTTTCTGTGTCTGCTTCTCTTTCTCCATCCTGTCTCTCCATCTCTGTGTCTCTGTGTCCCTCTGCATCTGTCTCCCTGGCCTTCCCTTCCTGCCTGTCTGCACCTCGCTCTCTTCTTGCCCGACGTCCCAGGCTCGGTCTCTCTTCCCCTCCCCCCAGCCCGCACACCCTGGCTCCGCGGCAGATCCCCATCCCTAAGCCTGTGTGCGGCCAGAGCTTCCCGTTTCGGGAAACCTGAGCCGAGGTGGTGGTGGCGGGGGCTCTCCCCGCCGCTGACCTCGACTGCCCCCTCCCCAGATGGGGACTGGGGAGAAAGACTGAAGCCAGACTCCCGGGGCTGCACGCCCGGCCCCTCCCCCTCTCAGGAGTGGGACCCCCCCCCCTGCACATTCTTTTCTGGAAACAGAAACAGCTGTGGGAGGCCCCACCCCCTCCCAAAGTTAGAGACGGATGGTGGGGGCCTTCGCGAGCTCCCCCCACCCCAAGCTGGCTGGACTTGGAAGGCGCCTTCCATCCTGACAAGGAGAAGGCGAGGCAAGAGGATAGGGTGGCTGTGTCCTCTCCCCCTCTGCCCTCCGTCTCTCCCCTTCTCACCCTTCACCTTCCCCATCTCTGCCCTTCAGTCTCCCTCTCCTCAGTCCCTGTGTCCCCTCCTCCCCCCAGCCCTCTGTCTTCCCGGCTTGAGATGGTAGTGGAGAGGCCTGTCCCCCCCACCCCCCAGTCTCTAGGCAAAGCTTGTCCCAGCATCAGGGAGGAGGCGGTGGCAGGCGGGGTGGGGGGGGGGGAGGAGGAGGAGCAGAGAAGCGCTAAATATAAACTTCTCTAGTGCTGGGGGTTCCTGGGTCCCTCTGAAGAGCGAGCGGGTGAGGGCTTCCTCTGATCCCCCAGCCCTTGTCTTATGACTTACCGCCCCACCCCCACCCCCTGCCAGAAATACACTTCCTTCAAGGCAAGAAAGACTGAAACCAGACTTGATTACTTTCTAATAGGAATGATGGGAATACCAGGTAAAGATCAGGGGTGTTGCAGAGAAGAGAGGCAGGAATCCTGGGTGAGGGAAGGGTCCTGTTTGCTCTCAAGAAGGAGAAAGGATCCTTTCAGCAAAAGGACTTAAGGTAGACTTGCAGAAGGACTTCCTAATAGAGAGAAATGGGCATTGGACACCGACGAGGGGCATGTGAGGAAAACAAAGTTAGGGAAATTTGGGCAAAGGGGTCTCCCGGGGTCCTAACCACACACTTATTAAGCCTGCAAAGAAAGGATGAGAGGCACAGAGCGGAGGCAGGGAGCCAAACTCAGGCCAAGGACTTTCTAAATCTTGTAAAGATTCATCCTTTTACAACTGGAGGGAATGAGGCCAGACTTGCAAATAGAGGGGTGTAGATTTGAGATATTTTTTGGGGGATGTCTAGGTGCTGGGGAGGAGGAGGCATCTCCTGTCTGTCTCCCTAATTTCTGCTCTTCCTTGTAATGGAAGAACTGCAATTAGACTCCCAGAACTTACCAAAAGTCCACCCTTTTCTGTTTGTTTATGTATTTTTAAATGATATATTGATTTATTCATTTATTTTTAGGGACAAAGTCTCTCAGGCCAGAGCGCAGTGGCACGATCATAGCTCGCTGCAGCCTCTAACTCCTGGCCTCAAGCAATCCTCCCGCCTCAGCCTCCCAAGAAGCTAGGACTACAGGGTCACGTCACCACACTCAGCTAATTTTTTTTTCCTTTTAGATATGAAGTCTTGCTACGCTGTTCACGCTGGTCTCCAACTCCTGGGCTCAAGCTATCCTCCTGCCTCAGCCTCTCAAAGCACTGGGATTACAGATGTGAGCCACTGTACCTGGCCTTTATTTATTTATTTACTTGAGATGGAGTTTCATTCTTGTTACTCAGGCTGGAGTGCAATGGCATGATCTCGGCTCACTGCAACCTCTGCCTCCCGGGTTCAAATGATTCTCCTGCCTTAGCCTCCCAAGTAGCCAGGAGTATAGGCATGAGTCACCATGCCCAGCTAATTTTATATTTTTAGTAGAGACAGGGTTTATTCACATTGGTTGGGCTGGTCCTAACCGACATCGAACTCCTGACCTCAGGTGGTCCGCCCACCTCTGCCTCCCAAAGTGCTAGGATTACAGGCGTGAGCCACTGCGCCTGGCCTATTTATTTATTTATTGAGATAGAGTCTTGCTCTGTCGCCTAGGCTGGAGTGCAATGGCACAATCTCGGCTCACTGCAATGTCCACCTCCTGGGTTCAAGCGATTCTCCTGCCTCAGCCTCCCAAGTAGCTGGGATTACAGGCACGTACCACCACCCCTGGCTAATTTTTATATTTTTAGTAAAGACGGGTTTTCACCATGTTGGCCAGGCTGGTCTCAAACTCCTGGCCTCAAATGATCCTCCCACCTCAGCCTCCCAAAGTGTTGGGATTACAGGCGTGAGCCACTGTGCTGGACCCCTACATTTATTTTTAATTAAACAGCAGAAATATTTTCTATCTTCCTTGTAAGAAATTCATAGCTTTTGGCCGGGCGCGGTGGCTCACACCTGTAATCCCAGCACTTTGGGAGGCCCAGGCGGGTGGAACAGGAGGTCAAGAGATCAAGACCATCCTGGTCAACATGGTGAAACCCCATCTCTACTAAAAATAGAAAAATTAGCTGGGCGTGGTGGTGCGTGCCTGTAATCCCAGCTACTCAGGAGGCTGAGGCAGGAGAATTGCCTGAACCCAGGAGGTGGAGGTTGCGGTGAGCCGAGATCGCACCACTGTACTCCAGTCTGGGTAACAAGAGCGAAACTCCATCTCAAAAAAAAAAAAGGAAATTCAAAGCTTTCAGGTAATCATACAAACTGGCATTTATTATGTGTCAAAAGAAACTTATTTAATCCTCACAATAACCCCTAGGAGATTATTATCCTCTGATGCCCAGTTATAGATAAGGAAATTGAAGCCCAGAGAGGTAAATCACCCACCCAAGATCACACAACTGAGGAGCTGCAGAGCTTAATGTGATGCCGAGTCACGCCTCCTTAAACACTTCCTTCTGCCATCCAGTCCCCCCCATACCTCTCTAGCACCCCTAAATGCAACCTCCCCCCCTGAGGTCACCATCACTGTCACCTTAGTGTCACCTCCCAGACCTCTTCCAGCCTGTCTCCTAGAGAAACAGCTTACATACCAAAAAGACAGCGGAGCTTTTGTCAGAGCCTTGCTTTTTACAAATTCTAGTTTCTTGGGTGAGGTCCCAGAGACTATGCCAGCGGAAACGTGGCCCCCTGGCCAGTAGTACCACAGCCCATGGAACGTGTTTGCCGTATAACTACTTGGGCTGAAATCGAAAGCTCTGGGAATGGGATTCAGTAGTTTGGGTTTTCATAAGCCCTCCAGGTAATTCTGAGTCCCTCTCACTCATACTATATATTCTGCACTTTTCTCTTTCTGTTCAATGCTATATCTTGGTGATGATTCTATACAGAAAGTTGACTCCATCTTAACAGCTATATAGTATTCCATTGTATATATTCATTCCTTCATCTAATATTTCTTTTCTAAAAACAGAGAGCTGTTTGGCCGGGTGCGATGGCTCACGCCTGTAATCCCAGCACTTTGGGAGGCCAAGGCGGGTGGATCAGGAGGTCAAGAGATTGCGACCCTCCTGGCCAACACGGTGAAACCCTGTCTCTACTAAAAATACAAAAATTAGCTGGGCATGGTGGCATGAGCCTGTAGTCTCAGCTAATCAGGAGGCTGAGGCAGGAGAATGGCTTGAACCTGGGAGACAGAGGTTGCAGTGGGCCGAGACTGTGCCACTGCACTCCAGCCTGGGCAAAGAGCAAGACTCCATCTTAAAAAGAAAATAGTGTAGGGTCCATCCCATTTGAGTTCAAGGTGAGTCTTCCTGCAACTCTGTCTCAAAAAAATAGAGAGAGCTGGGTGCAGTGGCTCATGTCTGTAATCCCAGCACTTTGAGAGACCGAGGCAGGAAGACTGCTTGAGCTCAGGAGTTCGAGCCAAGCCTGTGCAGCAGAGGGAGACCCTGTCTTGTCAAAAGAACACAAAAACTAGCTGGGCGTGGTGGCACGCGCCTGTAGTCCCAGCTGCTTGGGAGGCTGAGGTGGTAGGATCACCTGAGTCCAGGAGTTGAAGGCTACAGTAAGCTATGGGTGTGCTCCTGCAATCCAGCCTGGTGAGAGAGTGCGACTTTGTCTCAAAAATCAAATAAAAAAGACCGGGTGCAGTGGCTCATGCCTGTAATCCCAGCACTTTGGGAACCTGAGGTGGGCGGATGACTTGTGGTCAGGAGTTGGAGACCAGTCTGGAAAACATGATGAAACCCTATCTCTACTAAAAATACAAAAATTAGCCAAGTGTGGTGGCACATGCTTATTATCCCAGCTACTTGGGAGGCTGAGGCAGGAGAATCACTTGAATCTGGGAGGCGGAAGCTGCAGTGCGCCCAGGCTGTGATACTGAACTCCAACCTGGGTGACAGAGCTAGACTCTGTCTCAAAAATAAATACATACACACACACACACACACACACACACACACACACACACACACACACACTCACAGAGAGAGAGAGAGACTTGGTCTCTCACTATGTCACCTAGGCTGGTCTTAAACTCTTGGCCTCAAGCAATAGTCCCACCTTGGCACTCCCAGAGTTCGGGGATGACAGGCATACACCACCACACCCAGCCCGTTAAGTATTTCCTGAGCACCCACTTTGTGCCAGGCACTGTTCTAGGCACTGGGTGGGGGTGCGCCTGGGAGCTAAACAGACGGACATCTCTGCGTTCCTAGGGCTGACATTCTAGTGAGAGACTCAACAAAAAAATGACACCGTAATGTGTTATTTTGTTTTTGGAAATGAAGTCCCACTCTGTGGCCCAGGCTGGACTGCAGTGGTGCGATCTTGGCTCACTGCAACCTCCACCTCCCTGGTTCAAGTTATTCTCCTGCTTCAGCCTGCTGAGTAGCTGGGATCACAGGCACACACCACCACGCCTGGCTTCTGATGTATAATTTTAAATTAAGAGGTCATTGCTGATACATAGAAAAAAAGTGAAAAGCAGGGCAATGGGGTACACAATGACAGGGAAGCTATTTTGGAAAGGTGTCAGAGAAGGGACCATGTCACCCAAGACCTGGAGGAAGCGAGGATGGTATGTGTGGGGACATTGTCCCAAGGTAGGCACACATGTGGTGTGTTCAAGGGACGCGGCGAGGCCAGGCGTGGCCAGAGTGGAGACGGCATGCCAGGGATGTGTGGGGGACATGACACGGGGTACATGGGCGGTCAGAGATTTTTTTAGCTACTTCCCGATGCAGCACAATTCAGCTACTTTTTTGAGTTCCACTGAAAAATGACTTCACTGTGAGCATCTCAACATGCCCAGGGCAAGAGCCCAAAGTGGAATGATTTGTTGACCTTCCTCGAATAAACAGGCACGGATGGGGGCTTCTGCTGTCGGGGGAGGGGAGGGGCTGGGCCCTGGAAAGACTGGGATTGGGGGGGTTGTGGTGGCCAGGAGCCGGCCAGTCTTTCTGCCCTAAATAGGCAGGGCTGGGTGGCTGCCCTCCCCACCCCTCCTCCCCGCTTCCCTCCCTCCTGCGGTCCAGACAAGCCGCTTTTGTCTGAGGGTCAACCGCCAACCCGAGGCTGCCTGCTGCTACCCGGCCTCACTCAGACCCATGTGAGACTTTTTCTGGCTCTGGCCCTCTTTTCTAAAATGAGGTTAAGTCCTAATGTCTTGGAGACCCCATCCGTGTTGCTTCAGCCCTTACCCCACCTCCTGTCACCGTCACACCCCTAAAAGGGTTTTCACCTTCATTAATTCACATCTGATGAGAAGGGCTCTTTTCCTGCAGCAAGAAGGATCCAGGGAAGACTCACGGAAATCAATCATTCTTTCCTTCCTTCCCTTTTTTTTTTTTTGAGATGGAGTCTTGCTCTATTGCCCAGGCTGGAGTGCAATGGCACGATCTCAGCTCACTGCAATCTCTGTCTCCTGGGTTCAAGTGATTCTCCTGCCTCAGCCTTCCCAGTAGCTCGGATTACAGGCATGCGTCACTATGCCCGGCTAATTTTTGTTTTTTTAGTGGAGATGGGGTTTCACCATGTTAGCCAGGCTGGTCGTGAACTCCTGACCTCGTGATCCACCTGCCTCGGCCTCCCAAAGTGCTGGGATTACAGGTGTGAGCCACCGCGCCTGGCCTCCAGACCTTCCTTCCTTCCCTCCTTCCTTCCTCTTTCTTTCCCTCCCTCCCTTCCTTCCGTCCTCTCTTTCTCTTTCTCTTCTTTCTTCCCTTCTTTCTCTTTCCTTTTTAAGACAGAGTCTCCCTCTGTTGCCCAGGCTGGAGCGCAATGGCTCACTGCAACCTCCACCTCCTGGGTTCAAGCAATCCTCCCACCTCAGCCTCTCAAGTAGCTGGGATTGCAGGAGCAAACCGTCACGCCCCGCTAGTTTTTGTATTTTTAATAGAGATAAAGTTTCACCATATTGGCCAGGCTGGTTTGAACTCCTGACCTCATGTGATCTGCCCGCCTCTGCTTCCCAAAGTGCTGGGATTACAGGTGTGAGGCACCACACCCGGCCTGACTCCCAGAAATTTCTTATGTTGATGAGGAACGGTATGCCCACTGGAGCTTCCTGGTGGGAATGGACCAAAGGCAGGAGGAGGATGTCCCTCTGGGGCAAAGGAACGTACTGGGGGCGGCTGCTGCAGCGCCAGCGAGGCTACACTCACAGGATCCTCCAGCAGGCTTGGGAGGTTCTTTCTGAGGGGATAGCAAAGGGGTATATGAGTTATGGTCAGCCTGTTTTATCCATGTGGTAGAAAGACGTCATCTGCAGCAGGAAGGACTTAAGGAAGACTTGTAAAAGGACTTTCTATTGCTGATAAGGGGCAACAGGCACATCTGAGAAAGGAAAGTCAAAAATGGGGAGAGGCCGGGCACAGTGGCTCATACCTGTAATCCCGGCACTTTGGGAGGCTGAGGCAGGTGGATCACCTGAGGTCAGGAGTTCAAGACCAACCCGGGAAAGATGGTGAAACCCCAGCTCTACTGCAAACACAAAATGATCTCGGCATGGTGACAGGCACCTGTAATCCCAGCTACTCTGGAGGGTGAGGCGGGAGGACTGTCTGAACCCGGGAGGCGGAGGCTGCAGTGAGCTGGGATCTGCACTCCAGCCTGGGCAACAGAGTGAGACCCTGTCTCAAAAAAAACTGGGAGAAGAAGGCAGACCCATGGCTAAGGGATCTGGGGATCCAGGATACCACCTTTTAGCAGTGAACTGTCCTTACAGCAATCCCTGATGTTAGACTCAAGGAGGGACATTCTAATTGGGATCAAGGGGCTCTGAGCGCAGACTTGGGGGAGCAGCTAATAAACAGTGGCCAAGAGATGGGGGTGTTCTGAGGCCTCATCACACCTAAGAGAATGAGATGCAGCGGCAGCACGAAGGACTGGAGTTAGACAGAAGGACTTTCTAATGGGGATGAAGGGACAGAGATCTTGAGGGGGTTCTGGGACTCAGGTACTGCTTTTATCCTTTTGAAGCCAGAGCCTCATTGTCAAAGTGAAACTCTGCCCATGAGCTCGTGGAATACGGGACCAGTCAGTAGAGAACTGGGGGCCTTCTGACCATCCTGCTCTCCCTATGCCTTCAGGAAGCCCTGCCTGGGCTCGTCTGGGACCTGGGACAGCAGCTGGGAGACCTGAGCCTGGAGTCTGGGGGCCTGGAACAGGAGAGCGGGCGCAGCTCGGGTGAGCATGGGTGGAGGGGTAAGGTCTGCCTGGGACACCTGCATGTTCCCCGTCTCCCTATTTCTCAGGCCCCTATGTCTCTCCCTGCCCCATCTCTTTTCCTCGAACCTGGCTTTCCCAAACCCCCTGAAGTCTCCCTGCTTTTCCTGGAAATTCAGGCTTCTATGAAGATCCCAGTTCTACAGGAGGCCCAGATTCACCGCCCTCAACCTTCTGTGGGGACAGCGGCTTCTCCGGATCCAGCTCCTATGGTCGCCTGGGTCCCTCTGAGCCCCGGGGCATCTATGCCAGTGAGAGACCCAAGTCCCTAGGTAAGGTGGGTGAGGGTGGGTCCTGAGGCCAGGGAGAGGACAGTAAGAGGATAGTTGTGGGCACAGACTTCTGAATCGGGCCTGGATTCCAATTCCAGCGGTGACATTTCTTTTTCATGTGATTATGAGCAGGTCTCTTATTTGTGGGCCTCTGTTTTTCCAGCTGTTAAAATGAAATATGGCAAGGTGGCTCACACCTATAACCCCAGCACTTTGGAAGGCAGGCAGATCACCTGAGGCCGGGAGTTTGAGACCAGCCTGGCCAACATGGTGAAAGCCTGTCTATACAAAAATTAGCTGGACGTGGTTTTGAACACTTGTAATTCCAGCTACTCAGGAGGCCGAGGTGGGAGGATTGCTTGAACCCGGGAGGTGGAGGTTGCAGCGAGCCAAGATTGCTCCACTGTCCTCTAGTCTGGGCGACAGAGCAAGACTCTGTCTCAAAACAAAGAAAGAAATAGGCTGGACATGGTGGCTCACGCCTGTAATCCCAACACGTTGGGAGGCCAAGGCAGGTGGATCACCTGAGGTCAGGAGTTCGGGCAAGACCAGCCCAATACGGTGAAACCTCATCTCCACTAAAAACACACAAAAAATTAGCCTGCATGGTAGTGTGCACCTGTAGTCCCAACTACTTAGAAGGCTGAGACAGGAGAACTGCTTGAATACGGGAGGTGGAGGTTGCACTGAGCCAAGATCGAGCCAGTGCACTCCAGCCTGGGTGACAGAGTGAGACTCTGTCTCGATAAATAAATAAATAAATAAAATGGGATAATAACAGTGTCTCAATAGCTGGGCATTGCGGCACATGCCTGTAATCCCAGCTACTCGGGAGGCTGAGGCAGGAGAATCACTTGAACCCGGGAGGTGGAGGTTACAGTGAGCCGAGTTCATGCCCCTGCACTCCAGTCTGGGCAACAGAGCGAGACTCTATCTCAAACAAACAACAACACCAACAAAAAACACAACAGTGCCGGCCCCAAAGGACGTTTTTGAATATTCAGTGAGCCTGTGCTCTAAGACATTGGGCTTGGTACACGGCAGTCACTGGTAAATAGAACTGCTGTCATTCATACAGGAAGTTTTTGAGCCCTACTACGCGCTATCTAGCAGTATCCCAGGAGCAATGAACAAAATGAACAGTAACGAACAAAACAGGCAAATCCCTGCCCTTAGGAAACCAACAGTCTAGTTGGAGAAACAGATAAAATACAGGATAAACAAGTAAAATAGCTAGGGGATGAGATAATGCCATGTGCTAAGACAAGAAATAAGCCAGGGAAAGGGACTCAGGAGTGTCCCTTTGAGTTTGGGGAGGGAAGTGCAATTTTAGAAAATATGGCCAGGGAGGGCCTCACTGAGGCTGTGACATTTGAGTTATGCCCTGAACTCAATGAGGGAGCAGACCTAGCAGATACCCAGGAGGAAGAGTTTCCAGGAATCTGGAATGGGAAGCACAAAGGTTCCGAGGCCAGAGTGTGACTGGCCAGGGCTTCCAAGAGGCCAGTGTGGCTGGAGCTAAAACCCTATAGAGGAGGAGGGTCAGCCTGGTAATGGCTCATGCCTGTAATCCCAGCATTTTGGAGGCTGAGGTGGGAGGATTATTTGAGCCCGGGAGTTGGAGACCAGCCTGGGCAACACAGTGAGACCCCAGCCCTACCAAAACTCAAAAAATCAGCAGGCCGTGGTGGTGCGTGCCTGTAGTCACACCTGCTCAGGAAGATAGGGCGGGAGGATCCCTTGAGCTCAGGAGGTGGAGACTGCAATGAGCTGTGATCGCGCCACTGCACTCCATCCTGGGTGACGGAGCAAGCAAGACCCAGTTAAAAAAAAAAAAAAAGAAAGAAAAAGGAGAAGGGTAAGATGTGAGAGTTGAAGAGGTAGAGGCAGGACAAGTCATGCAAGGTCTTGTAGGACCCTGTAAAGATTTTATTAGGAATTTTACATAAGGGGAGGGGTGAGAAGAGGGTTTATGCTGAGATGGGGACAGGAAGGGAAGGAGGCAACCGGCCCTTTCCAGGTTGGATGAGAAACGGGAAAGGACTTTGAGAGCCTCTCCTCTCTTTCTTTCTTTCTGTTTTGGCATTCCTTCCCTAGGAGACGCCAGTCCCAGCGCTCCGGAGGTGGTGGGCGCGCGGGCAGCGGTGCCGCGGTCCTTCTCAGCACCCTACCCGACGGCAGGGGGGTCCGCCGGGCCGGAAGCCTGCTCCTCGGCGGAACGGCGGGCCCGCGCGGGGCCCTTTCTGACGCCCAGCCCACTGCACGCTGTGGCGCTGCGCAGCCCACGGCCCTGCGGCCGCCCTCACACCAACTCACCAGACGCGGGGGGCGCAGGGCGGCCCCTGGACGGCTACATCTCGGCGCTCCTGCGCAGGCGCCGCCGCCGGGGGGCGGGCCAGCCCCGGACCAGTCCCGGGGGCGCGGACGGCGGCCCACGGCGCCAGAACAGCTTGCGCCAGAGGCCGCCCGATGCGTCTCCGCCCCCCGGCAGCGCGCGGCCCGCGCGGGAGCCCTCGATGGAGCGCGTCGGGGGCCTTCCCACCAGCCCCGCCGCCTTGAGCCGCGCCTGGGCGTCGCCGTGGGAGTCAGAGGCCGCACCCGAGCCCGCCGCGCCGCCCGCCGCCCCGTCACCCCCCGACAGCCCGGCTGAGGGCCGCCTAGTGAAGGCGCAGTACATTCCTGGCGCGCAGGCGGCCACCCGAGGCCTCCCTGGCCGTGCCGCCCGCCGCAAGCCGCCGCCACTGACCCGCGGCCGCAGCGTGGAGCAGTCACCACCCCGGGAGCGTCCCCGGGCCGCCGGCCGCCGTGGACGCATGACCGAGGCCTCGGGCCGCCGGGGCTCGCCCAGGGCGCGCAAGGCCTCGCGCTCCCAATCCGAGACCAGCCTGCTGGGCCGCGCCGCCTCGGTGCCGTCGGGGCCCCCCAAATACCCCACGGCGGAGCGGGAAGATCCTCGGCCGCCACGGCCCCGTCGCGGCCCAGCGCCCACGCTGGCGGCCCAAGCCGCAGGGTCCTGCCGTCGCTGGCGCTCCACGGCGGAGATCGACGCTGCCGACGGGCGCCGCGTGCGGCCCCGAGCCCCTGCAGGGCGCGTTCCCGGCCCCAGCCCATCCCCGTCAGCTCCCCAGCGCCGTCTGCTGTACGGCTGCGCAGGCAGCGACTCCGAATGCTCCGCTGGGCGCCTGGGGCCCCTGGGACGCCGGGGTCCCGCAGGAGGCGTCGGCGGAGGTTATGGGGAGAGCGAATCGAGTGCCAGCGAGGGCGAGTCGCCCGCCTTCAGCTCCGCCTCCAGCGACTCAGACGGCAGCGGTGGCCTCGTGTGGCCGCAGCAGCTGGTGGCGGCCACCGCGGCCTCCGGGCCAGGGGGCGGAGCAGGTGCAGGGGCGCCCGCGGGTCCCGCCAAAGTTTTCGTGAAGATCAAGGCTTCCCACGCGCTCAAGAAAAAGATACTGCGTTTCCGTTCGGGTTCTCTTAAGGTCATGACTACAGTGTGAGGTTGGGGATTTGCTTGGGCTCCCCCTTCATGGCCTCTGCACCTCCACACTCCCCACCACTGACCCTTCCACATCTACCTTCCAAAGACCATCGTTTTCTCTGCTTCCAAAGACCCTCCTCACTCTCCCCACTCCTCACAGTCTTGGTTAAAAAGGCTCTCCCTCCACCACGGAGAGGAAGGTTGAGGGGCCCTGTTTGACCCATTTCAGCTTCTAACTCGGAAGCCTTTGGGCAAGACAGTTCCCCTTCTATGGGCGTCACTTTCCTCATCTGTACAGTAAGTGTCCATGTATGCAAAAGGGGTAATTCGGTTTGAATTTCCCCATTTTAGTTTAGAAGCCTAGTCTGTTTCCCTTCACTGCTCTCATTCCTGATGAGCCCTCTCATTCCTCCTTTCCTTGCCCTGCGATGGACCCCTTTCATTCACAAAGTGCCCCCTCCATGTCCCTGGACCCTTAAGTATCCCCTTGGCACCCTGGTCAGAGACTCTGTGTCTGACTCAGGTGGTTCCTGCAGAGTGCCCTGGGAAGGGAAGGAGCACTGATTTGGGGGTTTTGAGGGTCACGTAGGAGTTGGCAACACCTGGAAAGAAGGACTCTCACCTCAATCCCTGGACAATTATGGAGGATTCAGAGGTAGAAGAGGGAAAGGAAGATGGTTTCTATCTCGTGCCCCCACCCACTGTGAGAGGGAATGGGGGAAGCCTGATGACCCTCAGCTGTTCCAATCTAGTATTTTTTTTTTCTTTTTTAAAATTACTGTATTTATTATGACGACGGTGACTCCCCAGTGCAAAGGGGGGCCAGATTCTGTGTGTTTCTCTAACCTCTTTGTAAATAAATGCAGTGTTACATATGTGGTAGACTCTCATTGAATGATGAAATGGGAGAAATGCTTTTTCCTTTGGACTAACACTTATTGAACAACTTCTGTTTGCTGTGGATATGGCAGTTTCCAGGGAAGTCCCAGGGTGAATCTCAACATCATCTTCCCACCATTGGCTGTTTTACATCAATGAATCTCATCTTTGATTGGGTTATGTTTGGTCATAAATACTATTTCAGGCGGGATGTGATGGCTCGTGCCTGTAATCCCAGCACTTCGGGAGGCCGAGGTGGGGGGATCGCTTGAGCCCAGGAGTTCAGGACCAGCTTGGGAAACATGGTGAAACCCCATCGCTACAGAAAATACAAAAATTAGCTGGGGCCGGGTGTGGTGGCTCAAGCCTGTAATTCCAGCACTTTGGGAGGCCGAGGTGGGTGGATCACGAGGTCAAGAGATCGAGACCACCCTGGTCAACATGGTGAAACCTCATCTCTAAAATACAAAATATACAAAAATAAATCTCTCATCTCTAAAATACAAAATATACAAAAATATATCTCTAAAATACTAAAAATACAAAAAAAAAAAATTAGCTGGGCATGGTGTGCACCTGTAATCCCAGCTACTCAGGAGGCTGAGGCAGGAGAATTGCTTGAACCCAGGAGGCGGAGGTTCCAGTGAGCCAAGATTGTGCCATTGCACTCCAGCCTGGATAACAAGAGCGAAACTCCATCTCAAAAAAAAAAAAAAAAAAATTAGCTGGGTATGGCAGGGCATTCCTAGAGTCCCAGCTACTCAGTAGGCTGAGGTGGGAGAATTGCTTGAGCCTGGAAGGCCCAGGCACCAGTAACCCATGATTGTGTCACTGCACTCCAGCCCAGATCACAAGTGAGACCTTGTCTCGAAAAACAGTTTTTTAAATGGTTTCACAAAAATGGAAACAGCACAGGAAATGGCCAGCCCCTAAGTCCCCTCTCTCACAGTCATCATAGTCAGCAGTTTGATGTACATCCTCCTCCCATGTTTATGTGTTTGCATACATATATGAATCTAGCTATATAAATATCTATGTATGAATATACACATAGTTATACTATATATGTAATATATGTGTGAAACTATATTTTCATAAATTGGACTATATGTATGCAGTATTCATCGCTTTTTTCTGTGAAATCATCTGTGCCTGGAGATTTCTTTATGGGGGGGTTATTTTTAATTTTTTAATTTTTTAATTTTTTTGAGACGGAGTTTCCCTCTTGTTACCCAGGCTGGAGTGCAATGGCGTGCTCTTGGCTCACCGCAACCTCCGCCTCCTGGGTTCAAGCAATTCTCCTGCCTCAGCCTCCCGAGTAGCTGGGACTACAGGCGTGTGCCACCATGCCCAGCTAATTTTTGTATTTTTAGTAGAGACGGGGTTTCATCATGTTGACCAGGATGGTCTTGATCTCTTGACCTCGTGATCCACCCGCCTCGGCCTCCCAAAGTGCTGGGATCACAGGCATGAGCCACCGCGCCCGGCCCATATGGGGAGGGTTTGAATTACGGACTGAATTTGATAGTTATAGTGCTATTTAGGTTTTCTATTTCTTCTTGTGTCAGTTTTGCTAAGCCCTATTCACCTAAGAATTTGTCTGTTTTATCTAAATCTATCTATTTTTTCTTTTAATTTTTGAGATGGGGTCTTGCTCTATTGCCCAGGCTGAAGAACAGTGGTGTGATTGTGACTCACTGTAGCATCAGCCCCTTGGGCTCAAGCAGTCCTCCCACTTCAGCCTCCTGAGTAGCTGGGACCACAGGTACATGCCACCCTGTCTAGCTATTGTTAAACTTTTTATAGAGATGGGGTCTGCTTATGTTGCCCAGGCTGGTCTTGAATTCCTAGGCTCAAGTGATTCTCCTGCCTTGCCCTCCCAAAGTGTTAGGATTACAGATGTGAGCCACCATGTCTGGCCCATTTCATCTAACTTTGGTAACATATTTTCCTATCACTGTATTATTGAGAGCTGCATGTAAGACTCCATTATGGCTGGGTGAAGTAGCTCACATCTGTCATCCCAGCACTTTAAGAGGCTGAGGCAGGTGAATCACCTGAGGTCAGGAGTTTGAGACCGGCCTGGCCAACATGGAAACCCTATCTCTACTAAAAATACAAAAATTAGCCGGGTGTGGTGGCATGCACCTATAGTCCCGGCTACTCGGGAGGCTAAGGCAGGAGAATCAGTTGAACCTGGGAGGTGTAGTCTACAGTGAGCTGAGATTATGCCACTGCACTCCAGCCTGGGCGACAGAGTGAGACTCCATCTCAAAAAAAAAAAAAAAAAAAGACTCCATTATGGGGATTCTCATAATCTAACCCTATTGTCAGCTCTCCAGTTCTCTTGCTATTGTGAATCTTGCTACAGTAATGTCCTTGCATTTGCCTCTGTGCATATATGTATGTATTTTTGTAGGATCCATTCCTAGAAATAGAGCTGCTTGGTCATTAATAGTATGCCCATTTAAGAACTTAGTGGATACTGCTACACTTCCTTCCATTAACACTGCCCCAACTGACATTTCTAACAGCGGTTTTTGAGATGTGTTTTCTGCCCCTTTGCCAAATGGTAGATGCTATTGATCATTTTTATTTTGCAAATCTTATGGGGAAAAGACTGTGTTCTGTTTTAATTAGCATGTTTCCTCCCTTTTCCTTGAGGTAACACAAGTTTTGTATGCTTACTGGCTCTTGTATTTCCTCTTACGTGAATTGCCTTTTTACTCTTTTTCTCTCTTCCTTCCTCCCTTCTTTCCTTCCTTCTTTTTTTTTTTTTGAGACAGAGTTTTGATCTGCCACCCAGGATGGAGTGCAGTGGCCTTGAACTCCTGGGCTTCAGCAGTCCTCTCACCTCAGCCGTACCCCCGTCCCAGCAGCTGGGACTACAGGCATGCACCACCACGCCTGGCTAATTTTTCAATTTTTTGTAGAGATTATGTTGCCCAAGCTGGCCTTGAATTCTTGGCCTCAAGCCGTCCTTGCACGATGGCCACCCAAAGGGTTAGGTAAGCCTGGGAGGCTTTCAGAATTTCTGGCGTGAACCACCGTGCTCGTCCTGTTTTTCTGTTGGGTATGTAAAATTATACTCAGTTCTTAGATGGGTCAATGGAGGCTTAGAGAGGGACCAGTCCTTGCCCTGGTGACATAGCAGGAGGGATCCAGGGCTCGGACCCAGCCCCCACCTGATTCCACAGTCAGAAGTGTTTGTTGCTGCTTTTACCTTTGACTCTCCTTGGTAGATCTACCTCCCTTTGAGCTTGGAAAGAGCAGGGACCAGGCCTGCTGTGTTCACCTGTATCTTCAGTGCCCAGCCAGGCACTGGGATTAGAGCAGGGACAAAACAGAAAGAAAGCCCCTGCCCTACAGAGCTTCTATGGGGGTGGAGGGGCAGGGTAAGGCATAAACCTAGGTTTCGCTTAGAGTAATAATAAATAAAAGTTATTTTTAAAAGTTTTCCAGGAAAAGCTATTGCTAGACAGGCCCTTGGGAACAGTGACTCCAACTTCATTCCACAAAAGAGGCAACTGAAGTCAGAACGGAGAAGAGACTTGTCTAGGGCTACATAGGTCACTTAGTGGCCAAAATGGTTGAAGTCAATATGGATGTGTATTTAAGGGTCTCCCTTTTAATATTTTAGTGCTGGCCGGGCGCGGTGGCTCAAGCCTGTAATCCCAGCACTTTGGGAGGCCGAGGCAGGTGGATCACGAGGTCAAGAGATCGAGACCATCCTGGTCAACATGGTGAAATCCCGTCTGTACTAAAAATACAAAAATTAGCTGGGCACGGTGGCACATGCCTGTAATCCCAGCTACTCAGGAGGCTGAGGCAGGAGAATTGCCTGAACCCAGGAGGCGGAGGTTGTGGTGAGCCCGAGATTGCGCCATTGCACTCCAGCCTGGGTAACAAGAGGGAAACTCTGTCTCAAAAAAAAAAAAAAATATTTTAGTATATTCACAAAGTTGTGCAAATATCACCACAATGAACTCTAAAACATTTCCATCACCACCTAAGGAAACCCTGCACCACGGCTGTCATCCTGCAACCTTCCCAGTGCCTGGCAACCAATAGTCTATTTCTGCCTTCTGTAGATTTGCTAATTCTGGACATATCATAAATGGAATGGTGGAATACGTGGCCTGTAGTGACTGGCTCCTTTCACTTAGCTTATGTTGGAGAGGAGTGATGCACTCATGCTCCCTGCAGTGTCCACCTCCCGAGTTCAGGTGATCCTCCCAACTCAGCCTCCTGGGAAGCTGAGATTACAGGTACATGCTACCCTGCCTGGCTAATTTTTCGATATTTTTTGCAAAGACAGGTTCTTGCCATGTTACCCAGGTTGGTTTCAAACTTCTGGGCTTAAGCAACTTGCCTGCCTCGGCCTCCCAAAGTGCTGGGGTTACAGGCGGGAGCCACTGCGCCTGGCCGGCATGCTATTTTCAACTTCCATCCACGTAGCAGGTATTAGTACTTCATTTCCTTTTATTGACAGATGACTGATATGTAGTCCACTGTCTAATAGACCACATTTCGCTTGTCCGTTCATCAGCTGACGGACACGTGTGTTGTTTCCACTTTGGGCCATTCTGAATATCGCCTCCGTGAACATTTCTGTATATGTTATTGTGTGTTTTCATTGCTCTTGGGCATACACCTAGGAGTGGAATTGCTGAGTCATGTGGTAACTCTATGTTTCACCTTTTGAGGAACTGCCAGGTTTTAGTTTTGTTTTGTTTTTGAGACAAAGTCTCATGCTGTCACCCAGGCTGGAGTTCAGTGGCACGATCGCAGCTCACTGCAACATTCGCCTCCCTGGTTCAAGCCGTTCTCCTTTCTCAGCGCCCAGGTAGCTAGGATTACAGGCATGCGCCATCATGCTTGGCTGATTTTTGTATTTTTAGTGGAGACGGGGTTTCACCACATTGCCCAGGTTACTCTTGAACTCCTGATCTCAAGTGATCCACCTGCCTCAGCCTCTGCAAGTGCTGGGATTACAGGTGTGAGCCACTGAGCCTGGCCTGCCAGGTTGTTATCTAAAGTGACTGCACCATGGGCTGGGTGCAGTGGCTCACGCCAATAATCCCAGCACTTTGGGAGGCTGAGGCGGATGGATCATGAGGTCAAGAGATCGAGACCATCCTGGTCAACAAGGTGAAACCCTGTCTCTACTAAAAATACAAAAATTAGCTGGGCATGGTGGTGTGCGCCTGTAGTCCCAGCTACTCAGGGAGGCTGAAGCAGGAGAATTGCTTGAACCCAGAAGGCGGAGGTTGCGGTGAGCCAAGATCGTGCCATTGCACTCCAGCCTGGGTAACAAGAGCAGAACTCCATCTCAAATAAATAAATAAATAAATAAAAAATAAAGTGTGCACCATTTTGCATTCCTACCAGCATATGAGGGTTCAGATTGTTCCACATACTCACTTGCTACTATATGGGGACAGTTTGAAACAGGGTCCTTTTGGCTGCTCTGTGGGAAACAGGCTGAGGTCGGAGGTTAATGCAGAGGTCATTGTAATAGTTCGAGCAAGAGGGAAGGGACAGCCGAGGGAGTGAGAGGGACTGGATTTTGGAGTTGCTTTGAAGAGAGAGCCAATAGGAAGTCCTGCTAGGGCACTTGTGGAGTGTGGGAGAAGATGGGGCGTGGTGGCTCACACCTGTAATCCAGCACTATGGGAGGCCAAGGAAGGTGGATCACTTGAGGTCAGAGTTTAAGACCAGCCTGGCCATCATGATGAAATCCCATCTCTACTAAAAATACAAAAAAATCGAGCCCAGTTTGGTGGCTCATGTCTGTAATCCCAGCTACTCAGGAGGCTAAGGCACAAGAATGGCTTGAGACTGGGAGGCCGAGGTTACAGTGAGCCGAGATTGTGCCACTGTATTCCAGCATGGATGACACTGAGACTATCTCAAAAAAAAAAAAAAAAAAAATGTTAGCTGTTTGTGGTTGTGCATGCCTGTAGTCCCAGTTACTGGGGAGGCTGAGGCAGGAGAATCACTTGAGCCCAGGAGTTCTAGGCTGCAGTGAACTATGATTGCACCACTGCAGTTCAGTCCCGACAGGCAAGACCCTGTTTCAAAACAACAAAACTCAGATTTACCGTCACCTAAGAAGGGTAAGCCGGAAGTTAGAGCGAATTTGGTTGATGGAATCAGCTCAGTGTTGGATGCGTTGAGTTTGAGAGACCCACTAAACACCCAGGCGATTGAGTATTTGATCCTGGAATTCACTCTTACCGTTTTTTGGTGATTTCTTGAATAATTAAAGTCAGAACGGAATCCGAATCCAGGGCCTCAGTTTCCTCCTCCAAAAAATGGGGACCATAATACCATCAAGCGCTAGGTTGTCATGAGGCTGGGGGCACAGGGCAGGAACTGAGGTCATCTGTTGCGGTCTGCGGCTCGGGAGAGGAACGGAGGCTGCGCTCTCAGCAGGCAGTGTCCGTCTGTCCGTTTGCCCCTTCCCCCAGCTTCTGGCCGCGGTGGAGGAGCGGGAGGGAAGATTGGGTCGTTTCCCTGTCTTTCCCCGCTCTGAGCTGGGTTTCCTCCGCGGGGTCTGCCCAGGCCAGACTGCTGATAGAAACCAGCTGCTCAAGGCGCAGAGGCTCGGCGCACGCCCAGGCCCCTCCTCGGCGCCGGCGGACCCCGATGGGGGGCGGGGAGCGCCTTGGCTCCCCTCCCCTCTTCCGCAGCCCGGCCTGGGGCCCTGGCACGTCCGGCGCGCTTGATGCTTTCCAGATGTGGGCTCGGTTTCCCTCCTCTATCTGGCCCCATTGCGCCCGCAAGGGGAGGGGGGAGGGGAGCTAGGATCCGAGACGCAAATCTCTACCAGGGACTCGGGTCAGGGTCCCCTCCCCGCCCGTCTCCCTTCCCAAATTTCGGTGAAAACCGAATTAAGGTGGGCTGACTGCGGTAGAGGGGCTCCTCCCCCACCTTCACGTCTTCCCAGGGCTCCCGCTTTCTCCAGGTCCGGAAAGAACCCCCAAGCCCCGCCCATGGGGGCACGCCCCCAACAGGACACGCCCCATATACAGCCAGGGATATGCCCCTTAAATCCCCGCCCCCGAACCCCGCCCGTTCGGTCGTGCCTCTGCCGGCCCCGCCTCCGCCGTCGGGTCCCCACTGGAAGGCGCCCTCTGTGCGTCTCTTTGTCTCTCTGGCCGCCTCTGTGTGTCTGTGTCTTAGTCTCTGTGTCTGACTCTGCATTTCGGCTTGGGTGTCTCTCTCCTACCCGCTTCTCTCAAAGTCGTGTCTGCCTCTGCCTCTCGTGTCCCTGTCTCTGCAGCGCCCTTCCCGTCTCTTGTCTCTCTGGGTCCCTAGCTCTCTCCCTCTCTAAATCTGTCCCTATACTGTGTACTGTCCCTATAGCTCCCGGCGTCTCTCTAACTCTCCCTGCATCGCTCTCCCACGTCTGTGAATTTCTCTGCGTCCATTTTCCGTCCTCTCCCTCCAGTCCCTGGCTTCCTCCCGAGACTCCTTTGGTCCCGAGTCTCCCCTTCATCTCCCGCCGGGCCCTCCTCCCTGTGGCCACCTCCTCCAGAGACCTCGCGGGGCCGGTGGGCGGCTGGGCGTGCTGTGCGCGCCCTCCTGTGGCCGGCAGGGGCTGCGTGTGAGCGCCAGAAGGGGAGTGCTGGGGAGCGAGGGACGCTGGTGTTCGCGGTGACACCGGGAAATGGCGTGTGACACCGGGAGACTGTGTGTGTCCTGACGTGAGATGGTGTGTGACACCGGGAGATGGCGTGTGACACGGGGAAATCGTGAGTGTGCACTGCCGGGATATGTGTGACATCTGGAGAGTGTGTGAGTGTGCACTGCCGGTAGATGGTGTGTGACGCCAGGACACTATGTGAGTGTGTACTGCGTGATGGTGTGTGACTCCAGGGGATCTGTGAATGTGCACTGCCGGCAGATGGTGTGCGACTCCAGGACCAGGACACTATGAGTGTGCACTGCCGGGAGATGGCGTGTGACATCTGGAGAGTGTGAGTGTGCACTGCCGGGAGATGGTGTGTGACATCTGGAGAGTGTGAGTGTGCACTGCCGGGAGATGGCGTGTGACATCTGGAGAGTGTGAGTGTGCACTACCGGGAGATGGTGTGTGACATCTGGAGAGTGTGAGTGTGCACTGCCGGGAGATGGCGTGTGACATCTGGAGAGTGTGAGTGTGCACTACTGTGAGATGGCGTGTGACATCTGGAGAGTGTGAGTGTGCACTGCCGGGAGATGGCGTGTGACATCTGGAGAGTGTGAGTGTGCACTGCCGGGAGATGGTGTGCAATGCCAGGATCAGGACACCCAAAGTGTGTACTGCCATGACGGTGTACTGGTGAGATGGCATGTGATGTTGGGAGTCTGTGTGTGACTGATATTGTGAGATTATGTGCAATAAGGAGAGGCTGAGTGGGACTGCATATGTCAGAGATGACATGTCGCTGGCTGTGACACTGTGAGATGATTGGTGATGCTGAGCGATGGTGGGTGACTGTGTGTGCGGATGAGAGGTTGTGATAGGGTGTGGGAGAGACACTCTTTGGGGCTCTTTATGTGACACAGAGACCATCTGTGGGAGTGAGACATCGGTGTGTGTGAGGGGGCAGTGTGTGTGACGGTGAGCATACCGTGCTGTGTGCCACACAAGCAGACTGTTTGAGATAGAGCGAGACTCACAACCGGTGTATACTGAGAGGTGGTGTAGGCAGTGTCATGAGAGGCTCACAGGGGGCCTGGGACAGACTGAGTGTGTCAGATAGTTTGTGTTGACCACACTGTGTATGGCTTGTGAAAAAGTGTGTGATTTGGGCACAGTGCTATAATCCCAGCACTTTGGGAGGCTGAGGCGGGTGGATCACAAGGTCAAGAGATTGAGACCATCCTGGTCAACATGGTGAAACCCCGTCTCTACTAAAAATACAAAAGATTAGCTGGGCATGGTGGCGCGTACCTGTAATCTCAGCTACTCAGGAGGCTGAGGGAGGAGAATTGCCTGAACCCAGGAGGCGGAGGTTGCGGTGAGCCGAGATCGCGCCATTGCACTCCAGCCTGGGTAACAAGAGCGAAACTCCATCTCAAAAAACAAAAAAGAAAGAAAAGAAAAGAAAAACAACAACGAAACCCCAAACTGTGTGACTACGTGTGACACTGAGCTCGTGAGAGATGGCAGTGTTGTGACAGCGAGTGTAAGTGTGTGCAGCTGTGCAGGCCATTCAGAATCGAGAGTGTAAGGGAGGCCATGTGTGTAGAAGACAAGAAATTATGGACAGGCGGGAGTGAGTGTATGAAACGCTGCGAGACTGTGTGGGACTCTGCGAGACACTGAGCTATCATGGGTAGCCAGGTATGACACCAGGAGATGAGGCGCATGCATGTGTGTGACAGGGACAGACTGTGTGTGGAGGGAATGTGTCAGATGTGAGTGACATTAGGAGACTGTGAGAATGTGACCTTCCGCGGGTGTGTGTTACTATGAAATGCTATAAAATAGTGTGTACCTGACAGGTCGCATGGATAATTACATGCCACCACGAGACACAGACCGTGTGAGACTGGGACAGGGTGTGAGACTGAGGGAGAAGTTTAAATGGCATACAAGGCCAGGCGCAGTGGCTCATGCCTGTAATCCCAGCATGTTGGGAGGCAGAGGCAGGTGGATCACCTGAGGTCAGGAGTTCGAGACCAGCCTGGTCAACATGGTGAAACCCTATTTTTAGTCTCTACTAAAAATACAAAAATTGGCCAGGTGTGGTGGCATGTGCCTGTAGTTCCAGCTACTCAGGAGGCTGAGGCAGGAGAATCGTTTGACCTTGGGAGGTGGAGGTTGCAGTTAGCCGAGATCCTGCCACTCCAGCCTGGGCGACAGAGTGAGACTCCGTCTCAGAGAAAAAAAGGGGGAATGCAAATGTGTGTGACATTTGGAGATATTATATGTGACACTATGACAAACTGCTGGCACGTTTGATGTTCTGAGATGATTTATCTGACTGTGCAGCCCTGGGGTCGCCATTGGTGGTGGCCGTGTGTGGCATTTGGGGCAACCACGTGAGGTGGTGTTGAGCAAGGTGATTTGTGAAACTGCGTGGTGCTACCGCGTGATAGAGGAAGATAGTGTGTGTCTGTGTGAGGGACAGTGAGCAGGAGGCTGGTGGGGTGACACTGAGGTGGCGAGTGTGGCTGAGTGAGAAGCTTTGTGGGACACGCTGGGGAGGTTTGTGTGACTGTGGATCAAATGCAGTGAGGCCCGGGGCCCAGCCATTCTGGTGAGTTTGAGAGAGGCACAGAGTCACAGAGGACAGCAGCGGCAGAGACACAGGGAGAGGGACAAAGATAGGACCTCCAGACAGGAGAGTAGGCCCAGAGAGGCAGCCCCAAGGCTGGCGGCGGGGGACAGTGGCAGCGGAGACGTGGCTGCGGGAGGAGGCGGGTCCTTGGGGCTGCACCCCAGGGGAGGGGGCGGGACAGGCTGGAGGGACCCAGACGCTGCTTCTCAGCCTTGGTCACCGCTGCCAGCTGGCCCTGAGCAGCAACAGGTAGGAAGCTCCGGTCCTGGCCCCACAGCTGGTCCCTTTACCTGCTCCATGCCCACCGTCTTTCGCCTGGGAATGAATGAATGAATGAGTGAGTGAATGAATGGCCTTATTCTTCTGCATCTCCATCAGCCTGTCTCCTGCTTTGTTCCTCTCTCCCAGGTCCTGGATCCATCTCTCCCCAACCCTCCATCTCCTTCTCTGTCCTGTCCCTTCTGTCCTCTATCCCTCTATCTCCTCATCTCTGTCCCTTTATCACCTTGGTATCTCTCTGCTCCTTCCTCCATCCCTACTTCCTTCTCTCTCCTTCCCCTCTCCCTCCATCTCCCCATCCTCTCCCACCCCACACCTCCTCCCTCCATCACCCCATCCTCTCCCACCCCACACCTCCTCCCTCCATCACCCGATCCTCTCCCACCCCACAGCCCTCCCTCCATCTCCCCATCCTCTCCCACCCCACACCTCCTCCCTCCATCACCCGATCCTCTCCCACCCCACAGCCCTCCCTCCATCTCCCCATCCTCTCCCACCCCACACCTCCTCCCTCCATCTCCCCATCCTCTCCCACCCCACACCTCCTCCCTCCATCACCCCATCCTCTCCCACCCCAGAGCTCTCCCTCCATCTCCCCATTCTCTCCCACCCTACACCTCCTCCCTCCATCTCCCCATGCTCTCCCACCCCGAAGCCCTCCCTCCATCTCCCCTGCTCTGTCCCTTTGTCCCCTCGGTGCCAGTCGCCTTGTACCCACCCCGTTTCTTGCTCCCCCCTCCATTTGTCCTTCTGTTTCCTCCCATCACCTCATCCATCCACAAGCCTCTCCCTCTCAGTATCCCTCTTCTCTTCCTTCTCCCGTGCCTCTGTCTCTCCCTCATCACTTTGTCCCTGCCTCTGCACTCCCCCTTGTCCCTCTGTCCATCCAATCGGCCTCTCCTCGGGTGCCATGGTTGGGCTCCCCCAGCCCTCTCCCCTGGCTTCTAATGAGCAGAGGAGCCTTTGAGGTGGCCAGGGTTGGGTGAGGGGGCAGCTGCTGCCAAGGCCCTAATGAGGCCCCCTCTGTGCCCCTCCTGCCGTGATCTTAATTCCCTGTTCTCCCTGGAGCCACTGCTAATTGGCCTGGGGAGGGGCCCCCTCCTGGCTCCCACTCTGCCCCCAGGGGGTGAGGACACCTGGATCCTGATGCAGCACCTGTGGCCCTGTGCTTCTGTCTCAGCCTCCCATCTGTGCGCCCCTCCTTCCCTCCCTAGCCCCTCCCTGTCCTCGCCCCACCTGCCTTAGGTAACTCCGTCTGTGCACCCCTCCACCGCTCCTCTTGTTCCTGTCCTCTTCCTCTATCCCTCCCTCCACCTGCCTCTGGCCTTCCCATTCCCGCGCCCTTCCACCCTCGCACCGTTACCGGGACCCGCCCCCTCGCCCCACCTCGGGACCCAGACGTATCCTAAGCTGCCCCCACAGCCCCTACTCCCGCGCGGCTTTTAACCCCTTCCCCGCCGCAGCCATGTCCAACAACATGGCCAAGATTGCCGAGGCCCGCAAGACGGTGGAACAGCTGAAGCTGGAGGTGAACATCGACCGCATGAAGGTGCCGAGTCGGGGTGGGGGATAGGGCGGGGATTCTGGGCCTGGGGTCTGCTCGGGGTTGGGTCGGCCCGGAGCCACAGTGCAAGGATGCCTGTTGTAACGGGGCTGGGCAAGGCGGGGGGCTGGGGGGCAGGACAAGGGAGGGGCCTGTATAGGGGCGGGGAAGGGTGGGAGGAGGTGCCAGTGCAAGGGGCGGGGCCTAAGGGGGCGGCCGCCGGGAGCCGGGGCGGAGCTGGGGGGGGCGTTGACATCACCCGGGTGCTCGCAGGTGTCGCAGGCAGCGGCTGAACTCCTGGCTTTCTGCGAGACGCACGCAAAAGACGACCCGCTGGTGACGCCAGTGCCTGCGGCAGAAAACCCCTTTCGCGACAAGCGCCTCTTTTGCGTTCTGCTCTGAGCCCTCCGGACAGCTTACCCTCCCCTGCCAAAGTATGGATCTAATAAAACTTGGTCACTGTCGTGGTGCCTGTGCTTTCGGGGAAACTGAGGCACACAGAACTTGGGGCCACCGTGGGGGAAGCTGTGTCCGTTCTTATTCCTTCCGAGTGTGTGTGCTGGGGGTGGGGGTGGTTGTGGAGGAAGTACAACTCCACTAAAGCCTCGGAGGAGATGCGGATTCCGTGCTGTCTCCTCCCCGATCGATCCTGAACTTAATGGTCCCGACAGCCCCAGAAAGCAGCAGATTACTTGTATACGATACCCCTGAGGAAACTGAGCCAAAGTCCCTTATTCAAAGTCACAAAGCTAGGAGGTAACAGGGCGTGGATGAGGTCCTTCAGTGCTTCCTGAACCCTTCTGTTGGCCTCTCTTCTCTCCTCCCTAATGGGTTGGACATTCTTAGGGTCCCGGTCCCCATCCCACACTTCTCACCCCTGAACCACTTCTTTATTCACACCTGGTTCCGCTCTACCACAGGCTCACTTCTGTCCGAAAGCACTGCACTTTTTTCTCTGCTCATTCATTTATTCTTCCAAACACTCCCTGAGTACCTACTGTCTGACCCGCCCTGTGTCAGGCAATGCTAGGGACACGGCTGTGACCAAGACAGTCCTGGCCCTGCCCCAAGGGAGTGAAAGGCCTGTCCCCAGATGGTGAAAACCCAGAGTGGGCAGCGCTGGGTGAGGGAGTGCAGAGGGAACTCGTGACTCAGCTTGGAGGTAAGGGAGGGCTTCCTGGAGGAGGCAACATCTGAGCTGGAACATTGTGACAATAAAACTTGGTGACCCAGAGAAGAGAGAGAGAAACATGGCTAGAGCATATGTGTGTGTGTGTGTATATAATTATTTTTTGAGATGGGGTCTTGCTCTGTCACCAAGCTGGAGTGCAGTGGCACGATCTTGGCTCACTGCAACCTCTGCCTCCCGGGTTCAAGTGATTCTCCTGCCTCAGCCTCCTGAGTAGCTGGGACTACAGGTACTAATTCTTTTCGTATTTTTAGTAGAGACGGGTTTCACCATGTTGGCCAGGATGATCCTGATCTCTTGACTCGCCTGTCTCAGGCTCCTAATGTGCCGGGATTACAGGCTTGAGCCACTGCCTCTAGCGGCTTGCAGTTATGTTTGTATGGCTTTACATGATTTTCTTTTTCTTTTTGAGACAGACTCTCTGTCGCCAGGCTGGAGTGCAATGGCACAATCTCAGCTCACTGCAAACTCTGCCTCCCAGGTTCAAGCGATTCTCCTGCTTCAGGCTCCTGAATAGCTGGGACTACAGGCGCACGCCAACACGCTCGGCTAATTTTTGTATTTTTAGTAGGGATGGGGTTTCACCATGTTGGCCAGGATAGGCTGTAACTCTTGATCTCATGATCTGCCTGGCTCGGCCTCCCAAAGTGCTGGGATCACAGGCATGAGCCACCGCACCCAGCCGGCTTCACATGATGTTTAAAGATGATCTTTGGGAGGCCGAGGCTGGCGGATCATGAGGTCAAGAGATTGAGACTATCCTGGCAAACATGGTGAAAACCCATCTCTACTAAAAATATAAAACATTAGCCAGGCGTGGTGGCACACCCCTGTAGTCCCAGCTACTTGGGAGGCTGAGGCAGGAGGCTTGCTTGAACCTGGGAGGCCGAAGTTGCAGTGAGCCGAGATCACACAGCTGCACTCCAGCCTGGTGACAGAGCCAGACTCCATCTGAAAAAAATAAAAAAGATGTTCCTGACTTGGCTGCCAAGTTGAAAAAGAGGGATGTTTCACACGGCAGTCCGTATTTCTCTGGAATTGCAAAGTCTTCTCTGGAATTGTAAGGTCTGGTGACTCACAGGCTATAATATAGGACCTGGGGTTTCCAGCTCACCAAAGTCCACACCATGCCCAACTGTCTCCTAGTCAACGAAGCTGGGGGCCAGTTGCCATTTAACCTGAACCCTGGGTTGGAGGCTTCTTCCAGAGAAATGAAAAATGAAATGACTGGGTGCAGTGGCTCACACCTATAATCCCAGCACTTTGGGAGGCCGAGGTGGGCAAATTACTTGAGGTCAGGAGTTCAAAACTAGCCTGGCCAACATGGTGAAACCCCGTCTCTACTAAGAATAATTGGCCAGGTGTGGTGGCATGCACCTGTAATCCCAGCCACTCGGGAGGCTGAGGCAGGAGAATCACTTTAGCCTGGGAGGTGGAGGTTGCAGTCAGCCGAGATGACACCACTGCACTCCAGCCTGGGCGATACAGTGAGACTCCATTTGAAAAAAAATAAAAAAAATAAAAATGTTCTGTGCCTCCAGTGAATATGGGGAGAATGGAGGCTGAGAAAGCTGTGGGTTTGGCCAGTTATTTTATCTGGTTGGCTCAAGGGCCTGAGAGTCACTCCCTCTCGTCTTCCTCATCTCCTCTTACCTTGTCTAATACTCAGGATCCCCAGCTTGGGGCTGGTGGAGGCTGGACCCTGGGTCTGGCTGGAGGTGGCTTGCTGGGCCTCCCCTCCACAGGGGGAATGTGCACAAGTCTGCTCCATAATTGACATCGGATTAGGGTCCCCTGGGTCCCTACCCTAAGCTTCCTGTAGGATCCAGGCAGGAGCATCTGTAATTACATCTCCCTCCTGCCTCCCACCTCTGAGCCCACTTGGCTCCGGCCTGGTTGCATCATGTCTGTGGGAGCCCCTCGGGAGACGGGGGACAGGGAGTGAGCCAGGGATGAGCTAGGGTGTGGAGGAGGAGGGAGGAGAGAAGCTGAGCGCGAAGGAGCTGGAAGGATTCTGGAATTCACAGATTCTACATCTTTACAGCTCAGAACCTGAACTACAAGGAATCTAGGATCCCAGGACCTCTGAACAGCTGGAAGTCCAATGTCTTTCAAGCCGTGGGCCAAGATCCTGGGGTCCTGTGCCCTGGGACTCCAGAGCTCGGCATCTCAGAAGTGCAACGAGTTCTTCAGCCTAGGTTGTTGGGAGCTAGATCCTTCCAGCCCTGGAATCTCGGAGCTGTCTAGTGCAAACCCTTTCTCCTTCATATCTCTAGTCTCGGGGGACAGCAACTATGGAGATGTAAGCAGCTGAACGGGTCCAGGATGGGGGACGGGAGGGCTGGCAGGATTGGGGCACAGAGTGGATCAGCAGGAGGTATCTTTCTGGAGGAGGAGGGAGGATGGGGAACAGAGGCTGGGGGAAAGGAGAAGCCAGAAGTCACAATCCAGGAAGGACAGGGCGGGTCCCCATGTGCCCAGTCTCCCTGAGAACAGATCCGAATAATCTTATTAGCCTTACCGCCTGATAGCAGCACCAGCTTCTGGTCACCAGCTGCTGTTTCCTGCCACCCCCCGGGGTGAAGTCAGCTCTCGGGCCAGGCCCAGGCTGGGGTCAGAGACAGGCCAAGAGGTAGAGCTGGCCGAAGGGCAAGGTGCTTGTTCCTCCAGAACCCGAGGGCTCTCAGCTGCCCTGTTCCAGGCTGTCTTCTGTCTGTACCCACAACGCACACTGCACCCAACCCAGGTGCTCAGAGTGGGGCTTGGCCTGGCTGAAGGGGTAGGGCAGGGGAGGGGAGGCCTAGAGCCAGCATGAGCTGCAATCTTGGCCATCAATTCCTAGCGGGAATGGTTCAAATAAGTTCCATTTACTCAATGCCCACAGTAGCCCTCAAGGTGAGTCTGTTTATCTCCCTCCCTTTTTTTTGAGATGGTGTCTCGCTCTGCCGCCCAGGCTGGAGTGCAGTAGTGTCCTCTTGGCTCACTATAACCTCTGCCCCCCAGGGTTCAAGCAATTCTCCTGTTCAGCCTCCCAAGTAGCTGGGGTTACAGGTGCACCACCATGCCTGGCTAATTTTTGTATTTTTAGTAAAGATGGGGTTTCACCATGTTGGCCAGGCTGGTCTTGATCTCCAGACCTCAGGTGATCCACCCTCTTCAGCCTCCCAAAGTGCCGGGATTACAGGCATGAGTACCCAAGCCTGGCCTGTTTATCCCCATTTTACAGACAAGAAAAACAGGCATGGGGCCGGGTGCGGTGGCTCACACCTGTAATCCCAGCACTTTGGGAGGCCAAGGTGGGTGGACCATTTGAGGTCAGGAATTTAAGACCAGCCTGGCCAACATGGTGAAACTCCATCTCTACTAAAAATTCAAAAATCAGCTGGGTGTGGTGGTGTGACCTGTAATCCCAGCTACTAGGGAGGCTGAGGCAGGGGAACAGCTTGAACCCAGAAGTCAGAGGTTGCAGTGAGCCAAGACTGCAGCACTGCACTCCAGTCTGGGGACAGAGCAAGACTCCATCTCAAAAAAAGAGAGAGAAAAAAACAGGCATAAAGAGGTAACCAGCTGGGGTTTGAGGCTGGAATGGGAAAATCTGATGGACAAGCACTTAGAAGAACGTCAGGAAGTGGCCAAGCAGGCCTTGAAGGCTGGGAAGTGAGGGCATCTCCAGGTGAGGGGCATGGCCCAGGCATAGGAAGGGTAGGCAGGAAACTGGGTGATCCTGCAGAGCAAGGCGAGGTGCAGAGGCCAGAAGGTAGGCCAGGGCCCATTTGGGGTGGAGAATAGTGAGTGGGTAGAGAAAAAAGGCCTCTGCTGGAACCAGCGGAGGAAAAACAGGTCGGGATGGACACAGCAGTTTCTTGAATTGGTGAGAGGGCACAGCAGGCTGACGGCAGGCCTGGCAGGTAGAAGCAGCTGGTGGTGCATGTTTGCAGAACATGAGATGGAGCCTGCCTCCTCAGGGCCAGTGCCAGGAGAAGGGAAACCAGGAAGTCTGGAGCGGGTCAGGCCCAGGGCAAGCCAGGATCTTAGGTCTGCGGCACTTCCAGATGCAGGCCTGGACCGGGAATGGTTGGTTACGCCTGTAATCCCAGCACTTTATGAGGCCGTGGTGGGCAGATCACTTGAGGTCATGAGTTTGACATCAGCCTGGCCAACATGGCAGGTGCCTGTAATCCCACCTACTCAGGAGGCAGAGGCAGGAGAATCGCTTGAGCCTGGGAGGCGGAGTTGCAGTGAGCGGAGATCTCGTCACTGCACTCCAGCCTGGGC